GGTCCCTCTGGGTAGCTGGCTGTAACCAAGCAGTGACCACAACCTTGCCCCTTGTCAGCTCTACTATACATCTGGGAATTCTGATCATTCACATAAACGTATAGGACCATTGTCTGCCAACCCTATATATGATCTTGGATACACTCCCCATTTCATAGACATACCTAATTGTTTAGCCTGTCCACCTATCTATCCATCCACATACCAATGTTTGCCTTCACTGACAACGCAGTGACTGGGATCTTAAAAACTTGCAAGCAGCCATCTAGATGCAACAATGGGTCTCTCCTCATCCAGAGCAAAGAAGAATGAAGAAAATCAAAGATTCATGGAAACAATTAGACCAAGTGACTGATATACCATGCAATCCTCAGCCTATACAACTGAGACCAGAAGAACTAGATGGTGCCCAGCTACCACTGTCAACCACTCAGAGGGGGATCTACAGAGGAGATCCTAGATAGAGAGGGAGGACAATGTGGAACAAAACTCAAAATCATTTGGGAAAAAAAAAAGGGTACCAAGGTTTGCTGGTCTGAGAGCCTGGTGGAACCACTGAGACTATGGCCCCTAGCGGCCCTTCAGGTCTGGAATTGAACCCACAGCTGTGGCTTCCAGCCAAACAAAAGACAGGCATAGGAGTTGAACATTTACCTCAAGTAGATATACTCCTTGGAGAGAGAAATCTTGGGAGAAAGAAGGGCTGTTTATGCACATGGAGACAGCTCAGGGGGCAGGAGTACATGGAGAGATGGACACAGGGAAGAGGTAACTATTCGGAGGAAGTGGGAGGGGAGCTGTTGCATTGTGGTAAACTGTGGGCAATGTCATGAGACAAAGTGTATGTGAACTGCTGTACAGAAAGTGAATTTGCTCTGTAAATTTTCACCCAAATCAAAATTTTAAAAAAATAAATCATGTTAAGGAGGTAACAGAAAAGGGGAAAGAACATCTGATTCAGAGTTAGGAAACACAGCTCTGAGTCTTAGTTCAGTCAAATTTTGGCTGTGTGAATGGTCAAATCACTCCCCCTCACCAAAGCTTCATTTCCCCATTTGAAAAATGGTGACATAATAACAACCTCAGAGTTATTAGAAGGTTAGAATGAGATAGTTTCTGTGAAAGTGCTTTGAAAACCGAAAGATGCTTGAAAAGTGTAGGTCAGTTCATTCATTCCAACCAAATGGCTTTATGCCATCAATCCCAGGAGGGAATCTATCAGTGCATTCTTTTTTTTTTTTTTTTAAATCCAAAGGCACATCTGCAGAGCACCTGGAGGCATTCCAGAGTGAAGTCACTTATTGGGTGTGGTGTGGTTCTGGTCTTTTAGGTAGGGGGGCCTCTTCCTCCCAGTAATTCTTCCAACCTCAAGCCCAACTGGCCCAGCTGCAGGGGAGGGAGATGGTTCAGCTCAACCCTCAGGGAGCAGCTAAGTTCCAGACACTTAAAATATAAAAGTGGAGGCCATATCACAGCCCTCTCCAGCCTATAAAATGTCCTGCAGACATTTCTGGGGTGGGAGAGCTGAGGTGGACTTGATAGTGTCACTTTGATAAATTGTTTTGGGGCCATTTGGACTGGGATTTGAAGCCTGGTTAGTCATGTACTCACTGTGCCATACCAGCAACTTGCTTCCTCTCTGGCCTTGGTTTTCCTAGTTGTGAAATGCAGAAAATAACACTTTTCTCTTAGGGTGGTCTAAAGGCTACTATAAGGTAACATCGATAAAGTGCCTGGCACCATGCCTGGTACATAGTTGTTGTTGTTGTTATGTGCCGTCGAGTCGGCCCCGACTCATAGCGACCCCTCCTTGGGTTTCCGAAGCAGTATCACTATGGAAGTAGATTGCCCCATCTTCCTTCCGAGGAGTGGCTGGTGGGTTTGAACCACCAACCTTCTGGTTAGCAGTCCATGGCTGTTCTGTCCCCTCCCCTTTCTTTTCTTCAAAGAGGGAGAGCTTTGGGGCAACTCAGTCCTTAAACCCACATACCCTGACCATATCAAATGTGCAGAGGAGGTCTGCTTCTCGGGGCTGGGCAAGGCTGAGCAGGCATGTTTTCATATGGACAAGGAAACAAGTAACAGAGCCATCACCTACTGTCAATCACTCTCTGGTCCTTATTCACTGAGCATCACCTTTGGGCGGACTCAACTGATTGCCTCTGCAATATTTGTTCTCCCTTCTTCCTTACTAAGAGATTGGGTTTGAGGCATCATCATGCCCACCCTCCCCTACAGGTAGGAGTAGACACGCAGCACAGTTCTTGCCAATGAGACATAGGTGCAAGCTCTGGTGAGAAAGGGGCAAAGCAACAAGAGGAGAAAATCCTGCCCCTCTCCCCATTGTTCTTCCTTCTTTTGATGCCTGAACAGCAGAACAACAACAAAACAAACAAACAAACAAACAAAATGAGAGTGGAAAGAAAGAAAGAACAAAGGCTGTGGGTTCAGGCAGGCCTCACTTTTCCAATTTCTGGCTGTTTGGCCTTGGGTACGTTACTTAACTTCTCAGAGCCTCACTTTCCACAAACCGTAAAATGGGGTTATCACCTCTACCTTGTATGGTCCTTGGGAGAATTAAGCAATGCATTGGATACAGAGCCACTTTTTTTACTCTAAAGGGCTATACTGATGTTTATAGTTGCTCTTACAGTCATACTATAAAGGATTGACTGTTATTTTAGGGGGAAAATAAAGAGCAGACCCTTTATTTCTCCTCTTGGAGTAAGTCCCAAAGCTGGACACAATACCCAAGCTCTTTAGATGATCAGCTATGCAAACAGGAAATGACTCTCCAAACATTTGGAGCTGCAGGAGGCTGGCCCAGAGTCTGCCTCATTGGGAGGCATCCCTTCAGCCTTCTCATCTCCCAGCTGTAAGTGCCTCAGAAGTCAAGGACACAGCCCCTCCTCTGAGGAGCCGAGGTCAAAGCCACCCCTCTGTCTGCCCTGACTCTAGCCAGAGCCAGACCACTTTCCTCTCATGCTGGAAGAATGACAACAGCCCCTTGCTAGCTCCCCACTCTCTCTCCATGTCTTTCACAACTGTAGCTAGGAAAATTTTTATTTTCTTGAAATGTACATTTGATCCTGTCTTCCTTTGTTTACAAATTTTCTGTGGCTTTCCATTGCTCTTAAGGCTGAAGTCCTTGCTGCAACGTTCAGGGTCCTGAATGGCCTGGCCTTTGTCTGCTCCTGCAGCTTTATCCCTCTAACCATTCTGTCATCCTTTTAGTATCTGGAACACGCCAAGGTCCCCTCTCTCTGTACCCATACTATTCCCACTTTCTAGAACATTCTCCTTTCATAGTCTTCTGGGGCCCATCTTGCCAGGAAATATCCTGTCTTCAGCTCTCAGCTGAGATATCAAGGGTGCTGGTATCTCTCCTAGAGGCCCTGCTCCTATCCTTCCCGACACTCATCCAGCATGCAGGGATACACTTACTCAGGTGATGAGCTCATGGATGCCTGCTACCTGCCCTACTCCACTAGTGACTGCTAAAGGGCAGGGATTTTTGTCTGTCTTGTTCTCAGTCCTATACTTGGTGCCTGGTGAGGGACAGACACAGAACAGGTGCTCAGTAACTATGAAAGGCAGGCAGGCAGGCTGGGTTTGTGACGTGAAAGGGAGAGGGAGCTTCTGTTACTAAGCACCTACTGTGTGCCAGGCAGACCCTCACCACTTTTGGAAGGTTGTTGTTGTTATGTGCTGTCGAGTCAGCCCTGACTCATAGCGACCCCTCCTTGGGTTTCTGAGGCAGTATCACTACGGAAGTAGGATTGCCCAACCTTCCTTCCGAGGAGTGGCTGGTGGGTTTGAACCACCAGCTTTCTGGTTAGCAGTCAAGTGCTTTAGCCACTATGCTACCAGAGCTCCCCTTTTGGAAGGTAGGGGTCCCAATTTATGTTCTGCAGAAGAGGAGGCAGAGGCTCAGAGAAAGCCAGTGATTTGCCCAAGGTCATACCCCTATCAGGTCCTGCCAGGATTTGAACCTTGGTTCAAAGACCAGGTTCCCAAGTCTTGGTGGAACCTAACATCTAGCCCAAGGGCTCATTTATTCTCAACCTGTTTCCTCATTTCTAGAATGGGGACATAATACTACCTACCTCAGAGGGTTGTTGTGAGGATCAATTGAGTTAAGCCATGTAAAACGCTTAGCTCAGAGCCTGCCACATCTAAGTGTTCAATGATTGCTAGCTACTGTGATTATTTTGTTGATCAACCCCATAATCTGTTCTTTGCACTGTTGATCTTTGCTCTTTGTTGATCAAATCAAAGAACAAACAAGAACTAACATATTCAGTAGCAATCCATGAATGAGCAACAGGACAAACTGGATGAATGGATGGACATGGTGGATGGTGGGTGTATGCATGGGTGGAGAGTAAGCAATGGATTAGAAAGATGACATAAGAAGTGGAAGAACCAACTGATGAATGGCAGACTACGTGAACAACGCACACAGGGACGAACAGGGGAAGGCAAGCAAGGGTTGGACCAAGGGCTAGCATGCACACCTGAGCACTGGGAGAATAGGAGCTGACATGAGGACCCGGGCCGCTCGACCAAGCACCATGTCCTTGCTCACCTGTAGCGCTGCAGCTCTGCCTCCAGCTGCTGCACCCAGCACTGCAAGCCGGGCACCTGCTGCGCCAGCGCCTCAAGCTCACGCACGCGGCACAGGCTGCGCAGCACGGCCTGCCGGGCCTCCTCGGCGCGCCGTCGCACCTCGGCCTGGCCCTGGCGCAGTCGCCCGGCATGGGCCTCTGCCGCCGCCAGCGCGCCCCGCGCCTGCCTCAGCTCCTGTGCCGCCGCCTCGGGCTTGCCGCACTGTGCTTGGAGGGCACCCTCCTGGCTCTTCCAGAGGCCAACCTGAGGGGACAGGGCAGCAGGGTAGGCAGTGAGCGGCCTGTGGCCCAAGTAGGACAGGAATGCAACCACCATTCGGGCACAGCCTGGAGCAATGGTGCACATTCCCTGTGCTCAATGCTTACTGGAATCAAGAGTGGCTTTAAGGGCCTGGTGTGTGTGAACTCAGTCCTTACAAGTACCCTAATGAGGTGGGAATTCTAACTATAGCCTTTTTATGGATTAGGGAAACTGAGTCACAACCCCATAATCTGTTCTTTGTACTGTACCACTGATCCCCAAAATCCTAAATCTTTCCCCCCTTCTACCACTCAATCTTTTGTGGCTTCTCCATCCTTCATACTCAGGAAGAGTCCAGTGCTTCAAACTGGCATTTAAGGCCCTCTCTAAACTGTGCTGTCAGCTTCTTGAGGGTGCTGTCTTCTCTGTCTTGTTCACAGTTGTATCCCTAGCACCTGAAACCAGCCTGGTACACAATAAAAAAACAAACTGCCATTGAGTCAGATCCGACTCATAACGACCCCTCCTTGGTTTCCAAGGTGGTACACAATAGGTGTGTAATAAATTCCTGCCAAATGATTGATCTTGCTATCCCAGGATCTATTCCAGGACTCCTCATCTATTACTTGTGATCCCACCAGGAGAGTACTCTCCCATATCCAAACTTTGCTCATCTGTGCCCCCTGCCTGAGCTTTGCTTCCAGACATAGCTACTGAAAACAGCACCATGCTGCCCTGCTGCATCCTGCAGCACTTACTCTGCCCCTAGGAGCCAGGTGATTGGGCCAAGCAAGGGCTAAGATAATGTCAGCTCCCTGCTGGTCTGTGGACCCTTCTGAGTCCTTTTCCTGACTTTCTTCTCTTTTACTTCAGCATCATCCCTGGCACAAAGTGTTTGTTGACTGACTGCAGATGTGGGGGCTGGATCCATAGAACATACTGTACTTCTTTTTCAATACCTTAGAGCAGGTGTGGCCCATAGGCCTAAGTGAACAGCAGCTGGCAAATCCACAGGGCTAGCAACACTGTCTACTTCTCACCTGGGCACACTGAGGGAACCCCATAGGTATCTGCTGAATGATGAACAAGCTGCTGTCTATGTCATTGGGCAAGGAGCTCCTTGGTGGTGGGGCCAGGGCATTCCACACATGTCTCCTAAACCTCACAGAAGCCTGGCACCAAAGAGAGCTAAAGATGGTTGTTGAATGACTGAACATATGAAACGAAGCAGGTTTCTTGGAAAGGCTCAATTGAGCCACAAGAGGCAAGAGAAGATGGAGGAGGGGTATAGTGTGGAATGGTGCCTGAGTGGGACTGCCGTCAGAGGGGTGAGATGGGTGGGACCAGAGGTGAGATGCAGTGGGATGGAATGGCTGGAAGTGGAGTCGGGTGGGGGCAGAGCTGCCCTCTCTTCTTCCTTGGACCAGTCCGGGTTCCTCTGCCAGCCAGCTACTCATAGGAAGCCCTAGTTCCCGCCCCATCACTAACCCCCCCGACCCCGGCAGCGCACCTGCAGCGCTAGGCAGCGCGCGTCACTGCTCTGCAGCGCGGCGCGCAAGTCCTCCACCAGCTCGCGCAGGCTGCTGTTCTCCTCCTCCAGCCGCGCCACGCGCTCACTGTCCCCGCCGCCGTCAGAGTTGGGTGCCCTAGGCGGGCGGCGCCGGCGGCGGCGCGGGAGGCGCAGGCGGATCTGCGTCTCGATGTGTTCACTGAGCGCGCCGCGAGGCAGCCTGGGCCCCGCACGGGTACTAAAGTAGCCGCAGAGGCGCGCGTGGAACTGGCGGAAGGTGAGTTCGGGCGGCTCAGCGCACAGGGCCAAGCGTGCCTCCTCCTCGGCGTCCGGGTCCCCGTCGGCGGCCTCAGCAGCGGCCGCGTCCCCGGCATTCACGTCTCCGGCGGCTTCCCGAAAGAAGGCAGTGTCTTCAGCGCGTAGCCCTAGCACAGCGCAGAGCGCGCGAAAGTCGGCGCGGGGTAAGCGGCCGGCGCCGCGGCAGTCCAGGTGGTGGAAGACCTCCTGCAGGTATTGGTCTAGGCCAGTGGCCAGTACTACAATCTCGTTCTCCACGCCGCGGTCCAGCCCGTAGTGGTGTGCCAAGGCGCTCAGCAGCCACTGCGTTCGCCGCGCCGGCCGCTGATACGGGTCGCCCGCCTCGCCCTCCATGCCGGCCTCTGTGCCGGTGACGCCTGGGTCCATCGCCTGAGCCATCCGTCTTCCCTCCGGTCCCTCTGCCCCGCCACTTCCAGGGGCGGCCCCAGTGTTCCTCGAAAGGAGGGGCTTAGTGGCCACTGCCTGGTTGGAGCGGCGCCGGAGCCGTGGCGGCGGTTGCGCTGGCCCTGCAGGAAGTCTGTGTGTCCGTACCCCCCTCCCCCCAATGGCTTAGGGTAAGGGGTCCAGTATCCCCTGAGACTGGATCCCGCGGTGCTACCACAGGCCTGTGTCCCCCCAGCTTCTCAGTGGACCCATGTGCGCTTCCTCCCCTCAGAATGACCCTCCCCACCCATCCGCTACCCCCCACCCGCTCCCCGCCCCAAGAGGCAAGTTCCATGGTCTACATTTTTCTTTCCCTTGGAGGTCGTCAGCTTTTAGCTCTCCCACGGTCCGTCCTAGACGTAGGTGAGGAGTAGGAAGCTCGAGAGGGCTTGGGAGGTGGTGGCTTTTTCAGGTTGCTGGGGGCATATTCCACACCCAGAGGCTTCACTGTGCTCCTCTCCTCAGAAAGCCTCTCCAGGTTAACCATGAAAAATTACTATACTTTAAAGGTTGTCTTAGGCTGGGCTCTCTAGAAGAGCAAAACCAGTGAAATATATATGAAATATGTATGTAAGGAACTTTGGTGGCTTAGTGGGTAAGGCATTTGGGTGCTAACCAGAAGGTTGGATGTTCAAACCCACCAGCTGCTCAGGGGGAGGAAGATGAGGCAATCTACTTCTGTAAAGATTTACAGTCTTGGAAACCCAATGGGGGTCACTGATAGTTGGAATTGACTAGATGGCAGTGGGTTTGACTTTATATATATATATCACATATATATGTATTAGAGAAAGATTTATTTCAAGGAAATGACTCACCCCGTTCTGGAGGCTGACAAGACCCAAATCCATGGGTCAGGTGTCAGGCTGAAGTCTTCTCCTGACTCAGTTGGTTACAGGGCCTAATGAACTCAAAATCATCATGGAATACAGCAGGCTGCTGGCTCACATCACAAGAGCCAGAGATGAAAGGATGACAAATCAGATGCAGGCCTGAGAGAGAGCAAGCTTTGCCAGAACATGTATATACACTGGCTGCAGGCCATATCCCCAAGGAAACTGATTAATGTTCAGTTGATTGACTTTTCAAGTGATTGGCTGCTTACATCAGATCACAAAATGGAAGATGATTATATTATATTCCATTATGGAAGAATAATCAGTCCAATGTCTGTCAGTCACTGAGAATCATAGTCTAACAACACATAGAATTAACCATTACAACTTGACACTTGTGTCAAGCCAAACACACCCACTGCTATTGGATCAACTCCAACTCATAGCAACCCCATGGGACAGAGTAGAACTGCCCTAGGGTTTCCAAGGCTGTAAATCATTATGGAAACCAACTGTCTCATCTTTCTCCCACAGAGCAGCTGGTGGGTTCAAATCACTGACCTTTTGGTTAGTCACCAAATTCTTTAAACACTGCACCGCCAGAGCTCCTTGAGACCTGTACATACCTCTTTAAACCATATATAAACTTTAAATAAAAGCAATTATAAAGTCATACTTGCACATAACATGATACAAGTAACATGCATACAACTGGAAACATACTAGCCCCACTTTTATCTTTTATTTTGTAAGTAATAGGATAAAGGAGAGAAGAAAACAAAAACATTATGTATGTATATATATATGTGTGTGTACAAACATGTATAATAAAACAATGAAGAAAATACTCATTACAATTACAATCTTTATTTCTACAACTGATCATGTGGTTGTACCTGGTATTTAGAACTACTTTCCTCCACCACCCATTTCACATTCCCTTAACCCCCAGCAAATACCTCAGCTGCTTGTGGTTCTTTGCCAGGTGGGTGACCCAAACCTTCATTCCTGAATGGTCTGGGCCATTAGTAGTCATATTGGAATTGGGTTGTAGTAGTTTTCCATTGGGGAGCTCTGGTAGCATAGTGGCTAAGGCACTTGACTGCTAACCAGAGGCTGGCGGTTCAAACCCACCAGCCACTCCCCAGAAGGAAGATGGGGCAATCTACTTCCGTAGTGATACTGCCTTGGAAACCCAAGGAGGGGTCACTATGAGTCAGGTCCGACTCGACAGCACATAACAACAACCACAACAGTTTTCCATTGAGGAGCTCTGGTAGCATAGTGCCTAAGGCACTTGACTGCTCACCAGAAGGCTGACGGTTCAAACCCATCAGCCACTCCTCGGAAGGAAGGTTGGGCAATCCTACTTCCATAGTGATACTGCCTCGGAAACCCAAGGAGGGATTGCTATGAGTCAGGGCCGACTCGATGGCAAACAACAACAAAACAACAACAGTTTTCCATTGACTTTAATCACAGGGCATGGTAGTACTAAGAGGCTCGCTAACAGATTTCCTGTATTCCAAACATCCTCTTCTTTATCTCCATTATGTAATATCAATCCGATTTCCCCTTGGTAGTCAGGATCAATCATACCAGCCAATATTGTTAACTCCCTTCATTGCCTGAGATTCAGAGACATGAGGGGCCCAAAGTGGCCAGGTGGCATTCTTAACTTCCAGTTCAGGAGAATCAGTGTTGTGTCTCCTGATGGGAGTATTTCTCCCTTTGGATTGAAGACCTCTAGACCACTATGGGAGAAAAAGTACCATATATTGGATGTTTATTTAGAGCATATACAGCCTCCTAGAGAACATTATTTCAACACTGCAAGGTATTGCGACTTACTTGGTATTGTAATTATGTCTTTAGAAGGCCATTCAATCATTCTGTCAAGCCAGCTGCTTCAAAATGATGAGGAACATGGCAAGATCAGTGAATTCCATGAGCATGTACTTCATTTGCTGTGAAGTGAGTCCCTTGAATCCAGGTCAATAGTGTATGGGCTACTATGACAGTGCATATAGCATTCTGTAAGTCCATAGATGGTAGTTTGAACAGAAGCATTGCCTGCAAGAAAGGCAAATACATATCTAGAGTAAGAGTCTATCCCAGTAAGAACAAAATACTGACCTTTTCAGGATGGCAGTGGTCCAATGTAATCAGTCTGCCACCAGGTTGTGGGCTGATCAGCCATAACAGAGCCATACAGAGACATACAGAGTGTTGGTCTTTGCTGCTGGCAGATTGGGCCCTCAGCAGTAGCTGTAGCCAAGTTGGCCTTGGTGAGTGAAAGTCCATATCACTGGGCTCATGCATAACCTCCATCCCTGTCACCATGGCCATTTTGTTCATGAGCCCATGGGGCAATGATAGAAATGGCTGAGGAAAGAGAATGACTGGTTTCCACAGAACATGTCATCCTATCCACTAGATTAAAATCCTTTTCTGCTGAGGTCACCTTTTGTGAGCATTCACATGAGACACAAATATCTTCATTTCATTGGCCTAGTCTGAGAGGTCTATACAAATGCCTTTTGCCATACCTCCTTGTTACCAATTTACCAATCATGTCCTTGCAGTTTCCTGACCATCAAGACAAATCATTGGCCACAGCCCATGAATCAGTATACAGTCATACATCTGGCCAACTCTCCTTCCAAGCAAAATGAACCATCAGGTGCACTGATTGAAGTTCTGTCCACTGGAAGGGTTTCTTTTTACTGCTGTCCTTCAGGGAGGTCTCAGAAAGGGGCTGCAGTGCTGCCTCAGTCCATTTCTGAGTGGTACCTGCACATTGTGCAGAACCACCTCTTCAGTCAACTGATCATAAGGAACTCCCCATAAGCCCATAGGTGCAGACTGGGAGAAGGAAGGCAGTGTAACAGGAGTGGAAACCATGGGCATTAGGGCCACCTCCTCATGTAACTTTTTGGTGCCTCCAGGTTCTACTTGAGCCCAGTTTTGTATATACCACTTCCATTTAATGATGGAGTGCCACTGTGCATGCCCAACTTTATGATTCTGTGGGTCAAACAATACCTAGTTTATGACAGGAAGCTCAGGCCACATGGTGACTTGGTAGTCCATGGTTAAGCATTCAGCCTCTGCTAAAGCCCAGTAACAAACCAAAAGCTGTTTCTCAAAAGGAGAATAGTTATCTGTAGAGTATGGCGGGGCTTTGTTCCAAAATCCTAAGGATCTGTGATACACCAATAGGGGCCTTCCAAAGATTCCAAACAGCATCTCCATGTGCCACTGACACTTCAAGAACCATTGGATCATCTGGATCACATGGCCAAGTGGTAGAGCAGCTTGCATGGCAGCCTGTACCTGTTGCAGAGCCATTTTCTGAGCCCCACTCAAAACTAGCAGGTTTTCAAATAACTTGATGAGTAGACTTGATAAATGAGAGATATGTTGCCTCCAGAATCCAAAGAGGCACACCAGGAGTTGTGCCTCCTTTTCAGATACAGGAGGGGCCAGATGGAATAACTTATCCTTCACTTTGGAAGGAATATCTTATTATGTCCCACACCACTAGATACCTAGAAATTTCACTGAGGTGGGAGGCACCTGAATTTTTGTTGGGTTAATTTTCTACCCTCTAGCATGCAAATATCTTACCAATAAGTCTAGAATCATTGATTCTTCTTCCTTACTAGGTCTAATCAGCATAATGTCATCAATGTAATTGACCAGTGTGCATTTGGTGGAAGGGAAAGGTGTCCAAGGTCCCTGTGGAGTAAATTATGACATAGGGCTGGGAAGTTAATACATGCCTGAGTTGTTATTGTTGTTATGTGCCATCCAGTCCTCTCTGACTCATAGTGACCTTATGTACAACAGAACAAAACACAGCCCAGTCCTTTGCCAGCCTCATGATCCCTACTATACCTGAGCCCATTGCTGTTGCCACTGTATCAATCCATCATGTTGAGGGCCTTCCCCTCTTTTGTTGACCATCCTCTTTACCAACTATGACATCTTTCTCCAGAGAATGGTCCCTTCTGACAACATGACCAAAGTAGGTGAGACAAAGTCTGGCCATTCTCACTTTCAAGGAGCATTTTGGGTGCACTTCCTCCAGGACAGATCTGTCAC